CAGCTAGTACCAGTTCAGGAGTGTTGAGGTAGCTGCACGGCGTTCGCAGCCATCAACTCTCTTCCTTTATGTCCTTATTTTGTATTCCAGTGTACTTTCCAGTTATGGACTCATGTTGTATCATACTTGGTCTGTGTCTTAGAGGCTCAGGATTGTGACACCAGTTCCTGGGGTGTCGTTTTGTATAAATGTTTCTCATGTTTTGGTATTGTTCTCTTGTTTCATGCTAGTTGGGCGCTTTATGGGGATTTGGTCAGGCTTGCCTAGCCTCACGGCCAGGCGCCATCGCGACCGGGGTTTTGGGGTCGTGACACTAAGCACTTTCGAACCTACATTAGAACATACAACAATATGTTTGCCTTTACTTCACTTGGTGTAACCAATGATAAAGATTTGGCAAGGAGGTATCATGGTATATATACATTTCGAGTTCAGGGACAAATGTACCATTTTATACCTGATTTACTTCCTTCTGATAAGAAAGGAAAGAATATGCAGTTATACTTTTATGATAATGAAAATGAACTTGCTAATAGAATGACTTGTTCAAGTAATATCAACGAATCAATTGTAAAAAAACTTATGCATGTGCTCGCAGTTAATCCATATTGCATTTTTTTAAAATCTTTGACAAACGTTCCGAAACTATCTGATTATTATATCGCACTTAAATGTGAACCAAAGTCAGATCAACGTGTATACAATCTACCAACTACAACAGAAGTGGCTGGGATATGGGTACATGATAATGCTGCTAATACTGTTTCTACACCTCATATTCGTATATACACACATAGTGATACGACTCAATCAGTAAAGTATTATTATGGATGTTATGACCCATTACAATACCCATTATTATTTCCATATGGTCAAAACGGATGGCACTGTGGTATTAAAAAAATCGCACGAAGAGATCAACGTTATTGTAAACATGAAGAATTACCGAGTGTAAAAAACATGTGTTCCATTGATGGATTTCTTGATATGGAAGCTCAGACTATGGAAAAAGGAAAACGAAAAAGAGAGACGGTGTCTTGCCGTCAGTATTATTGTTACAAATTCCAGATAAGAGAGGATGAAAAAAATGAAGTCTTACATTGTGGAAGATTATTTCAACAATTCATAGTAGATGTGTTCATAAAGCTAGAAACACAAAGATTAGATTTTTATTTTTTTAATCAAGATTTATTTCGAATAGATGTGCTTCAAGGACTTATTGACTTTTTAAGACTTGGTGAAACAGAAGCTTCCAAGATTGGCAAGAAAACATTCCTCCCTGTTACTTTTATAGGAGGGCCAAGAGATATGCGTCGACGGTATATGGATGCTATTGCATTAGTACAACGTTTTGGAAAACCTGATATATTTTTAACTATGACATGCAATCCATCTTGGCCAGAAATAAAACAGCACTTGTTATCAACGGATGAAACACAAAATAGACCTGATTTAGTATCACGAGTATTCAGAGCAAAAGTAGAAGAATTAAAAGCAGATATCTTGAAAAGAAAAATCTTTGGAAAAGTTGTTGCTTTTATGTATACTATAGAATTTCAAAAACGTGGTCTTCCGCATGCTCATTTTCTTATCGTACTTAGTGATGAATGCAAATTATTAACACCTGAATCTTATGATAAGTTTGTTTGTGCTGAGTTACCTGATCGTAACACCCATGAGCACCTTTATTCACGCGTGCTTCAACATATGATGCACGGACCGTGTGGTGATTTAAATCCTACAAATTCATGTATGGGAAAAAGAGGATTTTGTAAATTTGATTATCCAAAAGATTTTGCTGAGCAAACATCGAAAGGAAAGAATTCGTATCCAATTTATAGAAGACGAAACACAGGCGAACTGGTACATATAAGAGAACAATATTTAGATAATTCATGGGTTGTCCCATACAATCCTTACTTACTTCGTAAGTTTGATTGTCATATGAATATTGAAGTTTGTTCTGATATTAAAGTTGTAAAATATATTTACAAATACATTTGCAAAGGACATGATAAAGTTGTTTTTTCTATACATAACAATGAAGAAATAGATGAAATAAAAGAATATCAATCTGCTAGATGGGTAACACCTCCCGAGGCGGCATGGCGGTTATTTGGTTTTCCTATTAGTGAAATGACTCCGAGTGTTTATCATCTTCAATTACATTTAGAAGGGCAACAATTTGTTTCTTTTAAAAGTACTGAAACTGTTAATCGCATTCTAAAAAATCCGATGATTAGAAAAACAATGTTGACTGAATTTTTTGCTATGAATGCAACTGATGAACATGCTATAGCTATGCAATTATTGTATAAGGAATTTCCCGAACATTTTGTATGGTCTCCAGGATATAGAACGTGGACACGTCGGCAAAAATGTAACGTAATTGGACGTGTTGTAACATGTCACCCAACAGAAGGAGAGAGGTATTATCTCAGGTTATTATTGATGAACGTGAGAGGACCTAAATCATATGAAGATCTTCGCACCGTTAACGAGGTACCTTGTAGTACATTTAGAGAATCAGCAGAAAAAAGAGGATTATTATACTCCAACAATAGTCTAATTGAATGTTTGTCGGAGGCCGTAAGTTATCAAATGCCATATAGCTTGAGACGTTTATTTGCCACACTTTTAGTATATTGTAATCCTGCTAATCCAAAAATATTATGGGAAATGTTTGAAGATTCAATGTCCGAAGACTTTAAACATTTCTCTAATTTTGAAGAAAAAGTTGTTCGGCACAAGGTTTTAAGCCATATCAATGACATTTTACACTCTATGGGACACGACATAAATGAATATAAGCTTATTCCGGAGAAGATTAAAGCTTCTGAAACTGCAAAGGATGCAAAGGATGTTCATTTTGAAAGAAATATAATTGTTAGTGAACAAGACTTGCTCCTACCGAAGAAATTGAATGTTCAACAATTACACGCATATAACATAATAATTGATAGAGTATTTTCTGGAAAACAAGGAGCTTTCTTCATCGATGGTCCTGGAGGAACAGGTAAAACTTTTTTATATCGTGCATTATTGGCAACTATCCGATCTCAACGATTTATAGCTTTAGCAACTGCAACTTCTGGTGTAGCAGCTTCTATCCTTCCAGGAGGACGAACTGCTCATTCGCGGTTCAAAATGCCTATTGATATAGATGATAATTTTCGTTGCAACATTAGTAAACAAAGTTCACTCGCACATCTAATTAGAGATGCAAAATTAATTGTATGGGATGAGGCATCAATGGCAAAAAAGAATATGATTGAAGCTTTTGATGCACTTTTGAAAGATATTATGGACATTGATAGTATGTTTGGTGGTAAAGTTGTTGTATTTGGAGGTGACTTTAGACAAACTCTACCAATTGTTCGAAATGGAAAAAAAGAAGATTTTATACGTGAAAGCTTATTGTATTCTGAAATTTGGAATAAACTTGAGAAATTATATCTATCTGAAAATATGCGCGCAAGAACAGATCCTTCTTTTTGTGAATATTTACTTCGAATTGGAAATGGAACAGAAAGAACTAACTGTGAAGACAAAATAGAGATTCCTGATTCTTTTGTTATTCCTTTTACGACTGAAGTTGAATCCTTGGATGCACTGTTTAGTGTAACGTATCCTGATTTGCATGCATTTTCTCCTGATTCATCTATGATAACCTCTCGTGTTATTTTAACAACGAAGAATGACTTTGTAAACGAAATAAATAATATGTTAATCAATAAATTCCCAGAAAGGTCTAAAACATTTGTTGCAATAGATGAAACTATTGAACCGAATGATCAAAGCCAGTTTGAAGATTTTCTGCATAGTTTAGATCCTCCTGGTTTACCGCCTTATAAGTTAACTTTAAAGCAGAATTGTCCAGTTATATTGTTACGAAATCTGAATCCTTGCGAAGGTTTATGCAACGGCACACGGTTAACATGTTGTGATTTTAGAACACATGTCATAAGTGCTAAAATTGAAAGTGGTGATTTCAAAAATACACATGTATTTATTCCAAGAATACCGTTGTTAACATCACAAGATGAAAAAATACCTCTTCAATTTAAGAGAACACAATTTCCCCTACGCTTATGCTTTGCTATGACCATAAATAAAGCTCAAGGTCAAACATTAGATTTTGTTGGAATTTACTTACGTGAACCTGTTTTTTCTCATGGTCAACTTTATGTTGCTTTATCAAGAGCGAAAAGTTCAAGCTGTGTTAAGATACTGATTCGCCCATGTACAACAGATACTAATGATGATCATTCAACATATAATGTGGTTTATGATGAAATTATTCAGAAAGCTTTCTCGTAAGAAACCTATTGATCTTTAGCTCAACAATGAAAAAACCAAGTTTTTAACTCCGCCTGTGTTTTAGTAGTATGTTTAAGTTACACTACTATACCACAGCCGGTCCCAAGCCCGGAAAAAGGAGGAGGGTTCAATGTCTATTTATACTTTGCTATTTTAAAATGCAAGATGAATTCACTTGTGTTTCAATTAGAACACTGTACCGAGCATATTTTGTGTAGGCATCTTTCCATACCTAAAGAAAAAATCGTTTCTATTGTGGATCAACTTGATTTTTGTCTCCTCCACAGGGATATAGGTATGGGTTAAAATTATTGGTAACTTTCAGCCTTATGTCTTCTCAAGTTTGAAGAATGTACTTTGTGAATAATGAAGTTGATTTTCAGATCCTATATCATTCTCAAAAAATTTGCTGGTGGCACTTGAAGAGCTGTCAAAGCATTTGCTTCAACTTAATGACATTCCACTAAAGGTGTCAACTGTGCAACCTCTGGACTCAGGTTTCCTTTCTCTATTCAAATGTTGTTCACACGTATATATTTCATGCTTCTGTTACTGCAAAAGTGCTTTGTGCTCACCATTAGTCACAACTTTCAGGATGACATCTGTCTTCCCGCCCATGCTTCATCCTTTGACACAAGAGAAGGGTATTGATATAAAATTGAGGAAACCTGTTTCAACCTGTATAAATCCAGCTGAAGTTGTGATTCAGGCATGAAGAGCTATCTCTGCATGGATTTTGTTATACATTCTGCACTAAATTCCACCCCCCCTCCCCTCCCATTTTTTTTAATAACTTGAAGGATCTGGAAATTAGCCAAAGGATGAAATTGCAATAGAGAAAACAAAAACTGCGTTTCTTCTCAGAATTGCGGAGAGGTTAGTCTTTCTTGAGTTTATTTTCAGGAATGATAACAAACCGGCTAAACTACCGGGAAAGTTGAAAGATTTCTCAAACTCCAAAATTTAGCAAATGAAGAAAATTCTTCCCTGTCATCAAAGTAACTAACAATAGTTTCATCATATATTTAATTGCCATCAGCTGCAACTTCAAAGTTACAGAGCTCAAATCAGGTAAACATTAATGTACGATAACACATTTGTTATAAAAATGCAAAAACTACGCAGAAATTGTGCAGGAAAATGTAGAAACTATGCAAAGATACATAACGTAACATCCTGGGAACTTGAGGGGCATCAAGGAAGTCATCCTCTTTTAAATACTTTTTCCGAATATCTGGGAAGCGCTCATAGAACCAAATACATAATGGTGAATGTTTGTCCGCATTTGGCTTACAAAAATATCAATATTTTTCCTCTTTTCAATTATGTAAAATCTAGAGTTATCTTGGATGTACCTTTTGTTTAAAATTTCTCATCATGTAAATTTGTGCCTACAGAACTACGGAGTTAGGATGCTGCTATACATCATACAGTTTTTACATTACTTCTTTTTGCTTTTATCAGAACCAAGTAAGTTGTAGCTTTGGAAATAATTTATCCACCTTTTTCCTATTTGAATCTGCTGCGAGCTTTCTAATTTAGTTACTTGTTTCTCCAGTTTTCTTTATTTTTTATAGTTGGATTAACAAGAATTTTTTTTTGACTCTGCAACAGTTTTTTTTTTTGGGTCAAAACCCTGGAACTGTTATACCTTTAGCTAATTATTTTTTGTATTGGCTTGTTTCTTCGCTTCATCCTCTAATGACAATCAGAGAACTCACTTATTGCATTTGGCTGAATATCAATTTAATTTTATCATGAAACTTTTAACTAAAGATGATTCATTGTCATAGGTCCAATTGGTCTTTCAACTTTTGGGTGGATATGAGTATCCTCAGGGTATGGAAACTGTAGGTTTGCCAAGTTTAAACCAGGAGGTATCCTTTCCTGTGCAAATTTCTTCTTTTGGTTTGCCTCTGCACCCTTGTAATATCCGGCTTCCTTTTGCCTTAGGATTCTGTGGACTATCCATTGCACTGTGCAGATCCAAAAAGACTTGAATTCCTCATTAGATTCCGTGAAAAGAGGAAAAGGCGATACTATGGAAAGAAGATCAGATATGATGTCCACCAAGAAGTTGCATTCAGGTAAATTGACTTATTTACTGCCAAACTGGAATTTCTATCTCCTCTTTTATTGTTTCAAGAAGAACAGAAATCTTAGCAGTCTAATGAAGTTATACACAAGCCTGCTTTTGACATTAAGCTCTAACTGGGTCAGTTAAATTTTAGCAACAAAATCAAAAGTTTTACCACTGATGGAAGTGAGGTCAATCTCCCAAAACCTGGGTGATGAATAACATGTTCAAGACTGCAAAATAAAAATATATTGCAATCACTCCATAACTTGATGAAGCCATCTTTTTGCTAAATTAGTACCCATGAAACCATTATCACTATATAAGTCTCCCTTTACCTTATGTTTATATGGGAGATGATTTTGTCTTTTGTTTCTAATTTGGATGAAAAAATAGTTAGTAATGTATTTCTGATTAAGTTTCCTCTAGGACACAACTATTAGATTATTGCTGAAATCCAATGCTTGGAAACTTCTTCATTCCAAAATTTCCTGTTTTGATTTAGAAAAATAAAATGATCTTCTATATTTCTTAATGAGACTTTTTTGTTCATTCAAATGTTATAACATATTTAAGACCACAAGTTCTAAAAGTTTTATAACAGGAAAAAATCATGGAATATTTAATTGCCACAAGTTTCACAAGTATTTTTTTAAAATTAAATTCTATGCCAAGTCAATCTACAACAAATGAAGTGAAACAAAGGGAGCAGTAGTATATAGTGCAAGTCATTGTCGTGAGTAATGCTCATGTATTAGTTGGATAAATTTCCAATGAAAAGAAAGATGAATTGTAAAGGAAAATAGGGGTCTATCAGACCATTTCCCTGGCCTCCTTGTCTGTCAAACGGAAAGAGATGTCAAAGTCATGATTCCTGTTCTTATTACATTGCAAATCTGGATTGTGGAATGTCGTGGCACTAATTCCTTTACTCTGAAATTTTGCAAACCATCAAAATGTAACTGTAACAGTATTGACTAATTGCTATCTGAACATTTGATGCCATTGTTAGCAGATTTTACATAATTTGGAAGTCTAATTTATAAATTTTAGTACTATTATTTACTGCTAAAGGCTTAAAACACCAAGCAATCTTCATTTGCTTTCAGGAAGCTGGTCCAGATGGGGGAAGATCCAGCAGCACTTTGAAGAGCTTCTAAAGAATAACACATCCATATTCGTGGTGAGCACACACTTCAAGTCTTGCAATCCAAGAATGTTTGAATTAGTTGTAGTTATATTTCTCCGATGATGATATCAGTTGAGCTTAAAGAAAGAAGTGAGGATTCATATTGCCGACCCCAACTTTGTTTGGGAATGAGGCGCAGTATATTTCTTTGACAAAAATGAACCTCACTTCTATTATTGCTTTGACTATCAGTTAGGTGCTAAAGTAGACTTAGGTCACAAAGAGGAATTTACTATCAAGATCTAAATGAAAACTCATCCACTCAATATTACCCTTACTTTCTTATATTAATGTTCTCTCTTATATTAACGTTGTTCATCTTGGGCCCGGGCAACGCCCGGGCTAACCCTACTAGTATTAGAAGAGGGAACACAGGCACCTCTCCGTCAACATGTATGCTTTCTTGAATTTTTTTAATTTGTCTGGGGTATTTCTGTAATTTTATTAATTTATAGATCTGCTGACTCTTTCTGTCGTTGCCAACTCGTGGACTCCCAATTCCTCAAAGCTCAAAACTCATTCAACAGAACTTCTTAGAAGCATCCACTTCTAGGTTGAGCATCAATTGCCCCAAAATCCACCAGACCTCACCTAATAATTTTACGAAATTAGAGCAGTTAATCTTTTCTGATTCACATCTACCATAAAGAGCAGGTTTATTCCAATTACTCCAGCATTTCATTTTATTTATGCTTTCTATTCAACTTTTTCTTCTTCTGCAGAAAGATCAGATCTTTGGGGTTTTGGGTTGATTAGCGATCTTTTCTTCAGTTTAGGTGAAAACAAGCTGAGGTTGGATTTTGATTTGTTCTCTGTTCTGATTAATTTATTTTGGATTTCTTATGTGAATTCTAAGTTCTCTTTATTTTATTTTTTCTGCTACTCTACTTTCTTTAAAAGATTGTTAGAAGTTCATCAACATATCTGCTTGCGGAGGGCAATTTCGTCCTCACAGTGTTATTGTGCTATGAAAAATTCTTGTCGTATCCCTGTACCGGCTGATTTTAGCTGTTTAGAGAAAGGCTACATATATAGGTAATTTCGCAAGCTAACTGACTATCACCGCTTAATTCTCTGCAATACCAAGATTTTCCTCCGCATCTCTGTCGTCTCTTTGTTTTGATTCTCTTGGCTTCTCCGATGATTTCTGTCTTTTTCATGTTGCACATCAATTTCTGTTATATATTGCGGGATAGTTTAACAGGAGATTGTGGTTTTTATTGTGTTTTTGCAATTCTATATTTGCTCAAGATAATAACATGATTAAAAGGTTAGTTTTACTGTGCTGTTTCTTTTCCTTCATAGGGGTGTCTCCTGCGTTTTGTTTCAGGGTTCTTGTTGGATTGTTCGAATATTCATTATAATTTTATCTTAAATTTTTGTGAAACTCAAAAAACTGCTTAAGAAGAAATTGGGGTTTCCGCATATTTGAAGGTTTTATCATTTTTAAAAATTGGGGCTTTCATAATGGATGATCCTTTAACTTTCTTGGATTTGACTTTTGAGCTACACTTTTAATGGGCTTCTGGTTTATTTTAAATTTTCCCTGTATTTACATGAAAAAAGATGACTTGAAAAAAGATGACTTAATCCTTCATTATTTGCAAGTTTTGTATTATCACGTTCTTATTTCCCATGCCGAATTTTACCTTCACAAACTATGAGATTTTAAGTTCCTTCAATCGAGATTGGCTTTACTATCACGTAAATAATGTAAGACAAAAGAATACCTACGATGAATACTATTTTTGAACTGCATAAATTGTGCTAAGTCGTAGTAGTTATAGTACTATTGTCCAATTAATTAATCCGCCAGTTGATATGCATAATTGTAGTCCGGAGGAGACGATACACATTTTTGCTTTTAGATCAAGAACTAGAGTTATTGCTATAACTACACTTGTGATAAAGAAGTCACTTCTACACTTTTATCACCGAAAGAGATAACATTTTCTATTTTACACAACCAATTCCTTTGAAAACATCTAATGGATTTTATTTTATTCTATTCAGACACTATTATTCGTCCATTGGTCGAGCAGGATTTTCAAAGCTTGCAGCAATTATTCCTGATTTTTTTTTGGATTTACTATCCGAATAATTACTGTGCACGTATTTTGTTATATGTTTAACTTGCATTTTAAAGTTGCTTAGTTATGTATATATAATTATTTTCTCTCTGTGTTGCTGAAGTTGGACTGGCTCAATAAATTTCTTGAGCATGTGTCCTTATTTGGACAACGTACTCTTCATTTCTTAAAAGTATCTTGAATAGGTAACTAGCTTGTGCTAAACTATTTTGTATAAACTAGCTACTTACAGGACTGCAAAAAAATATTGTTGGAGAGCGAATTTTGAAAGTATAAAATTAACTCTGCGGAAATTGAAACATCGAATGGGGTTCTTTACCTACTAAAGCAGGTGCCTGAGCATCAACATACGACTCTTCGGGAGGTCCTTTGCTCTTTCCTTCTCTTATTATTCCATGTGTACATTTTCTGATATTTTCATACATCCTCTGCTTTGTGTTTCCAATCTATTAATGCTTTAATCTTAATTTTCATCTATTTCAGCTCTATCAAAGTGTAATAAGAGTTGATTCCAAAAGGTCATGTGCGAAAATTTTGATGAAATAAGCTTTTTAGAATTTAAAAACTGAAAGGTTTTCATCGTAGTTCAAGAAATGATTTGGTAAAACAAACAGAACATAGAGTACTTATTTCACTGGAATTTTATTATGGTCACCAGTAGATAGCACTTTTTATGTCTTATTAATTCTTATTTTTTCCCATTTGACTGTGTAAAACATATAGATTATATAAAACAGCTATCTGAGGATTGCAAAGTAAAGCTGAAAAAGATTTAAAAGATCAATATATCTTTGTGATGTTGTTAGTAGTCAGATAACAACTTCAATGTTGCACTTGGATCACGAAATCCTTATTTTGAACTGTACTTCCTTCAACTGAATCGATTGTGAATAATTTAGCATACGGTGGACAGATAGCTGGTCAGACCTTCTATAGTGGAAATTAGCTAATTATTTTTCTGTGTGTATCAACTTAACTTGCTATACTTGCTTGATGTTTGTCATTGTGCATTGCTCAGTTTGCCAACTTCTATTTGGCTTTTCCAGCACCTAGGCTATGTCTATCAGTAGTTGGTCTCATAGTGTTAAGTGATCCAAAACTAAGTTGTATGGTTTAACTATTTCAAGTTTTCAACTGTAATACCATTTCATGATCTTCTCAAGGAAAAGTAAATTTATGATCTGAGGTATCTTAGAATGTAATGACAACTATTTTGCATCCTTTACTGAGCATAGGTAACATGTTTGCTATGATAACACCAATCCAAGGTAGTGGAAGAGGAGTTACGCCGGGGAGCACCTGAGGTGACTTTATTTTCTTCTCTTTTTTCATCTTGCAACATCTTTACATGTCGTTTATAAAAAAAAATCTTTCTCTACATGTATGGTTAGGTATTCCAACTAATTGTAGTTTCTGTTTTGTCTATTCTTCATTGTCCCTGTGTCTGTTTCTTTTTAATACATTTCTCTTGATCTTTTCTTTTGTCGAGATCATTTTTTTCCTCCATAAATTGAACCATACACTAAGCAGTCATTCAACGAGAGCTTAACTTTTAATTTTTTATAGCCACTCGCAAGCTATATCATGGCCATGACAGTTATTTCTGTTCAATTTTGACCTCCGTTCATTTTTTGCGGTTGCTGAATTTTGTAGAAATGCCAAGTTGTGTAAACTCGCTGAGCAGGTTGTCTTCTCGGATCCATACAAATTGTCACAATATAATCAGTACACATCTCCTTATGCAAACACCGGTGCAAAGAATAAGTTAATAATTCAGATCGACTTTGAAGGCACTGCTAAAAAATAAGAAACCCATTCAATTGAGGTAGCCTCAACTCAGGTAATATTTAACGCATTGCTGACTAATATGCACTGCTTTTGATCATGAGTGATGTTAGATAGAATAGACAAGGATGAGATAAAGTTTCTGTTTTTAGGAAAGCTTGAAATCAACAAATATTGGGTTACATAAAAGTATTTTCTTTTAGATTTCTGTAGAAAGGCCACGTTCATGATGGTACGATGTCATACTTTTATATTTGGATTTTGCATTTTCCTGTATCAGGTTAATCATGTTTCGTAATGTTGTCTTGTTTTCATAAGAAAACAGAAAATCTGCAGGTCCCTTTTTTGAGAATGTTTATTTTTTTCGGAGAAGGATTCTACAAGTACCTTTGTTTAAAGGACTTTTTATATATATATATATATATATATATATAGAGTCACCATTCTGTGGTAGATCAATTAGTACAACTTCTGCAGATTCATCACACTCTACTCTATAAGCCTCTATGCTGAAAATCTTTTCCAAAATTCAAAGTGATCTCTCCTAAGCTTTCAAGGTGATCCCTTCTTCAAGATTCTTGATAATTGGTTGCACACATGACATTTTCACTAAGAAATTGCTGCCACTTTTTCAAATCTCATCTAATGTTGCAAGTCAAGTTAGTGCAGCTTCATCGGCTTCCCTTTTGTTGCCTTGTAATAATTCAGCCAACAGAGCCACTGCTCTTGCTTTTACCAAGCAAAATGTGCTTCTTCTAGAGCAATGACAATCATATACACAACAAAAACCAGGAAAACCATCTTGATTTTCTCAATTTTCTTAGAGGGAGTAAATTTTGAGATAGTTGAGCTAGACATACTGCAGCTCTACAATATCTTTTGGTCACCGTCTGTAATATACCTTTTTAAACTGCTGTGGCATCTCAACTGTGCACCTCAAAAATAAAAGTGTCGGTTCAGTACAAACATAGGTTTTCAGTCACACAGCTCTAAATATTTACAATAACCAACAAAAAAACAATCAGGGAAAACTTTTGTTAATATAGCAGTCGTTTAAGTTAATCTTTTCGTTATGATTGACTGTTGTAACCTAATTAGGCTTTGGCTGTGCCCTACTCCATTTTGGCTTACTTTGTGGCTTTCCTTCTTATCATTTAGAAATACTAATAAAAGCAGGATAGATCTAAGAAAAACATAGTGACAATGAAATATTATATGGAAAAACCTTCAGTAATATAGTTAATCGAGACATTGTCTTCTTACGTTGAACGAAAGATATTTGGAACAAAGTAACATCATATAGCATTAATTTAATACACAGGAAATAGTTGAAGAAATCACAAGTTTTAGTTTCTTCATTACTTTCTTTTACTGCACATTCGCATATTTGGTATTTGATAATAGGGCTTCTTCTCTGTACCTTATTTTTGAGACAGTGACATTACTCTTTCTATAGAGAATAATTTTATGAGTATTTTCAATGCATAATTTGTTGTATACTGACCAGGACTGCAACTTATTTTTAGCTTTGTAGATCTACTGATGCTTCTCTTACATCCGGTACCACCAAAAGAATTGCTCAATGGGCTTAGCACTGCACAGGTAACCGACTATTTTATCTTTGGATATCTGTACACGTTGGCTCCTATTAACAGATTCTATGTTCCTGCTTCCCGTTGTACGGCTAATAGTTAATGTTATGCATCATTTTCGTTTCTACAAGTTATGATATTGTGCTAGAGGAGAGAAAGAGGCCTTTTACAAAGTGAGACATTGCAATGCTTCAAAAAGATGCAGCTTTTGCAAGCGTAGTGTTGTGATACAGGAAATGGGGAGAGCTTGCCCTGCCATCACACCATTTTGTAAATACAGTAAACATTTTAGGTATTTTCAAAGCCAACTTTTAACCTTTCATTGCAACTTTAGCTGTAAAAGTGAGTTTTACATCTTGGGCTGACTCATTGTATTTTCAAGACAACACACATATTACTTTTTGACAGCTGCAAAGTAATTCCATTTAGTCCAAAAAATTATACACATACAGATACTCTCCTCTTCAGAACTTAGTTTATGAATTACCTTAGCTTTTTCTCTGTGAATTTCTGTAATGACCCGACCCGTCATTTATTGCATTTCAATCCCGTTATCCCCGTTTCATGTTTCCCCGTATGTTATATTGCGTGTTGGGTGAGTTCGGAGTGGTCCAGATGGGTTTTAGATGGAAATGAGACACTTAGTCTCTTATTGAAAGGCTTAAGTTGAAAGAGTTGACCCAAAGTTGACTTTCGGGTTAGAGAGCTCGGAACGGATTTCTGACGGCTCGACTAGTTCCGGGGGATGATTTGTGACTGTGTGCGAAATCGGAGGTGAATTCGGAGGTCCGGAGTGAAAATTAGATAGGTTTGCCGAAGTTGGAATTTCGGAAGAATCCAGTTGCTAGGCGAGAATTTGATCCGGGGGTCGGAATGAAATTCCGACAGTTGCATTAGCTCTGTTAGGTGATTTTGGATGTGTCTGCAAATTTTCAGGTCATTCGAAGATGTCTAAGTCGGGTTTTTGATTGGATTAGTAATTGGAAGGTTTAAGACCTTTTAGAATTGAAATCATCGAACCTTGAGGATTTTTGATGTTTGTGATATTGTTTTTATGGCCCGAGCAAGTTTGAAGGAAGTATTAGGTTGAGTTTGTGTCTTTGATTGAGGTCCCGGGGGCCTCGGGGTGAAATCGGAGGTTGAACGGAGAATTTTGAAAGAATTGTGCTGCTGGTATCTGGTATTTCCGCTGGAGCGGAAGAGTGGCCGCCTACGCGGTCCCGCTGAGGCGGAAATTTGACCGCAGGAGCGGTCTAAGGGACTTCTCAGGAATTCGCTGAAGCGGAAAATACTCCGCATGAGCGGAAGTCGCTGAAGCGGAAAGTCAGTCGCTGAAGCGGATTTGCATCGCAGGAGCGGAAGGGTGTCCGCAGGAGCGGAACCGCTGAAGCGGCACAAGTTCCGCAGGAGCGGTCGCCCAGGTTTTGAAAGAAACCGCAGGAGCGGTCCTTTTTCCGCTGGAGCGGAAGCCGCAGGAGCGGAAA